ACACACACACACAAGCCAACACACATACACACACACTCACACACACATACACAAACACACACACACAAGCCAACACACATACACACACACTCACACACACATACACACACACACACACACAAGCCAACACACATACACACACACTCACACACACATACATACATATAAAATATTCTAGCGAGGCGATCTATTGTATTCTCATTGTTGAAATCACAGTTTAAAACAGGCCTAAAATAGACTTAATTTTCTTCATTCTTATCTTTTATTTTATTTATTGTGTTTAAATAAGATGTAATGTTTTCAATATGGCCTGGGGCTATATATGAAAAAAAAGTGACTGCTCTTATGTGCTGCTCTATTATACTGTATGGTTCCTCTTGTTCACTACAATCCAATAGAGCCCCTCGAAAAGATTTATGAATAGACCTTTTGAAAATGAAATCGTCACAGACCATCAACCACACAGATTGGCAGAACTGCCTCTTAGTGCCTCATTGTGTCTCAGCAGAAGCTGAGGATCAGAATTGTTAAATGGACCCAAGCAAGGCGCCATGTCTTCCCCGAGGAAGCGTGAGAAAATGGGAGAATGGTTTCGGTGGCGGTGACTCTCTTGTTGTCCTGCACCCTCAGAGTGACCATGTGGATGAGGGAGAAACGGGACAGTGCAGGATGAGTTGCCATGGATACGAAAGCAAAACAACCATTAATAAACATCCAAAAAAGCCACAGTAAGAAGAAAAACACTGGCCCCGGATATAAATTAAACTTACAAAGGCTTCCAGTATGAGAAAAGACACTGGTGAGTATATACTATTCTGCATTGATGCATCCACTGCAGTTTTTATTTATTTTTTGGCAATGTGCTTTGTCCTCTAAGCAGGCTATTTACAGTCCATATGTGAATTCAAATAAAACTGGCCCAAAAAAAACAAATTGAGAGTGTCTGTCTGTCAGTGCTGTTCCAGCTGAAATGATGTATGAATGGGGATTAAGGAATTATAATAATGCTTTCTGCTGAACTGGCATGTGGTGTTCGTTTTGTCGGCTGGAGCTCACTGTCCCAGCACGTGCATCTGCTGCAGGAGATAAAAACAAATTGCATGACAGCATCCTGCAGTGGACTAATCTGTCCGTGCAAATGATGTTATGCATTTTAAGAGACTGATAAACAAGCTTATAGTGAAATATGTCATGATTCAGACTTAGAGCAGTGGACCCAAATATCACATAACAACATAGAAGCAACAATAAATATGCCTACAGATCTTTTGCCTCTCTCTATCTTTTTGATAGCTATCTTTTTTAGGGGAGACCGGGGCTAGTTGTCACAAAGGGACATTAAGGGACTTTTTTTTCTCAGTAATCTTGAGCAGCAAATCGGCATATTAAAAGGATTTCTGGAGGATCATGTGACACTGAAGACTGGAGTAATGATGCTGAAAATTCAGATTTGCCATCAAAGAGAATACATTTTAAAATACATAAAATAGAAAACAGCCATTTTAAAATGCTATAATATTTCACAATATTCTTGCTTTTTACTAGAATAAATATAAATTCTCTCAAAAACATTTTTAAAAATCGTACAGACCACAAACTTTTGTGTATATTGAACAGTAGTGTGCCTATCTATCTATCTATGACACCAATAAAGACCAAATCTATACCAACAATATAAATCCATCTTGAATTCTCCTAAAATTGAAGTGTTTCCTGTCATGATGAAGGTATGAGTTGTGGAATGTGTTAGCAGTGCATTATTACATCATTTCTTGTGCAACAATATGCATCTTAAGATTAAAGACTTTCATAAAAGAATGAAATGCTGAAGTATTTATGTCAGATCTTTGTCTGGCGAACTAATCTTTCACTTCCTGTACAAGAACAACATAAATGATAAAAGACTCTTGGATTAAACATGGAGTCAGGTAACATGGGGCTATTTTCATCCTTTTATCCTTAAATGAACCAGAGCTAGAGACTGCAGTTTTTTTTTGCCAGTGTGTTGAGTGAGTGAGGTCTGTTGTCATGTTCAGCCCTCTTTGTTTTTATATTTTTTTTAATAAAAATGTCCACTGTGTAAGATCCTACATTGAGTGAAATCCTAAATCAGGGGTGCCCAAACTTGATCCTGGAGGGCCGGTGTCCTGCAGAGTTTAGCTCCAACTTGCCTCCACACACCTGCTGGGAAGTTTCTAGTATGCCTATAAGAGCTTGATTAGCTGGTTCAGGTGTGTTTAATTGGGCTTGGAGCTAAACTCTCCAGGACACTGGCCCTCCAGGACCGAGTTTGGGCACCCCTGCCCTAAATCAATGGGGGACTCAGTGGGTCTCTTTCTGAGAGTAATGTTGCCTCCCTCTGCTGGTTACAGTGTAGTAGTGCAACTGATTGCATTTATTTTTATTTTTTTTAATCAGGACCATGTTGTTATTTTAGTATTATTATATACTATTATAGCATTTATTAATATTTTGAAGGAGCTTTTATTTTTATAATTTCATTTTTCATCTTAATTTTAGTTTGCGTTTTTGTCATTTTGTTATGTGCTTTATCATTTTAAATATTTCTATTTAGCTTTATTTTGATTTCTGTTTTAGTATTTTAGTACTTAAACTTATTGCAGTTTGTTGCCAAAGCAACATTTCTAACATTTAAACTTCTTTAAGTTTAATTTGTATTTAATCTAACGTTTACATTTTATTTCAACTCCTCGATGATTTGTAATATTTAATCATTTCAGTTAATAACAACACTGATTCAAGGACAAAGTATTGCCCTTTTATGTTTAATGTTCTTGTGATCGCTTGTTTTAAAGTTTTACTGAAAATAATGTGGAATGAATAACATTTTTAACTTGTATTAACAAATAATTATATAAAAATTAATGACAGATTAACTGAAGTGATAAACTTCAAAATGTACATTAAGTATGTGTCATTAAATGCTATTCTTATCAAACATTTCTTATTATTATCAATGTTTAAAACATGGTTTTGGAAATACCATGATACATTACCATTCCAAAGTTTTAAGAGTAAGATTTAAAAAGTAAATAAACACTTTAATTCAAAGATTAATTAAAAGTGACATTAAATACATTTTTAATGTTACACAATATTTCTATTTCAGTATCAGCAACTGAAAAACGCAGGCCACTAAAAGGACTGACATAAGAGAACTGTCAGTTATAATACCACGGTCCCAATAGTTACCCGACCCGTGTTACAGTGTGTGTGATGCTCTTAATGACACTCACACAAGTGCTGACATTATAATCTTGAAACCCCTCAAGACAGTTTCCTGTAGATGTGATGAGGCAGGCTGTTTGCCAGACAGTAATGTTACAAATGGAGGAAATGCAAGTACAACCTCCATGATTTAAATCAGATTTTGAGTCTGCTTCATCTATTTAAGGCCCTTGAGCAGGAAATCTAGACCTCTACCTCCAGATGACCTCGTGTTTGTTCACTTACAGAGCTAGAACCCATTATTTTCTATTGATGTCTGTTATCTTGTGAATCAAGAGGGCAGGCTGTTTTGAAATAACTTTAATGTTCTGATTAAAAGCCTGAAAAACAGTACCGGCCAGTCAAAACCATTAAAACCATTGCTTTGGTTAAATCCCTTCATACTAGAAGACTACAATGTTCTATTCCAGATAAAAAAAATATAAAAAGTAGAACTGTTAAAAGAAAAAAACAACAACAACATAACATAAACGTTAAAGGGATAGTTCACCCAAAAATGAAAACTCTTTATTTATTCACCCTCATGACCTGTTCAAGATCTGTATGAGTTTCTTTCTTCTGGTGAACCCAAAAGAAGATATTTTGAAGAATGTTGGTAACCAAACAGCTGATTTCCATAATATGAAAAAAAAAAATATATATATATATATATGGAAGTGTACTATGGATATGAGGGTGAGTAAATGATTACATCATTTTCATTTTTGGGTTAATTATCTCTTTAAGAAATTCCACATGGATTCTCTCCAATCAAATATGAATAAAGTGCCATATATAAGCCATTTTATTAGCTGTACAAATGTTAGGAGTTATCCTGCTGTGACGGCTCAACATTCAGTCATCTGCATTGAGTTTATTGTAAGTCTGTATTAAACGTCATAAATGTCACCCGCAAGATAGTGGTTGAGATCCATTAGGCACTATAAATGCTGTAGAATAATTCCATTTTCATTTTATATGCACAGTTTGCATCTTACGTATTAGATTATATGGCTCTCAACTAAAGAAAGTTGACCATGATAGTAAATATTAGGTAAAGTGCAGTTGTTTCAGAAAAAAAATTTGTAGTAAAGAACAATGCTGATAAAAAAAATACAATGAGATATGAACTCACAGGATTCATCACGTGATAAACTGCATTGCCTGAACTGGAATGTGAATTCTAGGTCTACTTCTGTTGCTCTGTTCCTGGAATAAAATATAAAACTGTACCAATAAAAGGTAAGGTTGCTATCTCATATTCAAACGTTTCTTAATTAGATTAGATGTGAAACATCTCCTACTTATCTCAAATTATATTTAACTGTGTATTAGATATGTTGATCTTTACTGCTCTTGCTCTCTTGTCTTTTATGGAGGTGATTTCTTATCTTTGGGATAGAAACATTAAGATGTTTAATCAACAAATTATTTACAGAAAAACACTTTTAGAAGGCAATTCGTTTTCAGTGCCAGCACTACAGTCAATTAGCTAGAATCTATCAAAATCCATTAAAACGATCATTTTCT